CGCTGGAGCAATGTGATGTTTTCAGATGAGTCAAGGTTCACTGTTGATTTTTTGGACAGACGTAGGAGGGTGTGGCGTCGTCGAAACGAGCGCTTCCAAGACGTTAACGTCATCAGACATGATCGATTTGGGGGTGGTTCTGTTATGGTGTGGGGAGGCATCACTGTTGCTGGAAGAACGGCTTTACATGTTGTTGCAGGGCGTGTTACAGGCCAGTACTACCGGGACAACATCTTGGCAGTCCATGTTGTGCCGTTCGCACGACGTCATGGCCGCCGTTTCATCTTCCAGGATGACAACGCAAGATGTCACAGGGCCAGGATCGTTACAGGTTACCTCCAACAACAGAACATCACCACATTACCTTGGCCAGCACTACCGGGACAACATCTTGGCAGTCCATGTTGTGCCGTTCGCACGATGTCATGGCCGCCGTTTCATCTTCCAGGATGACAACGCAAGATGTCACAGGGCCAGGATCGTTACAGGTTACCTCCAACAACAGAACATCACCACATTACCTTGGCCAGCACTGAGTCCCGACCTCTCCCCCATCGAGCATGTCTGGGACATGCTTGGACAGAGGTTACGTCAATGTCAACAACGTCCTGCCAATGTCCAAGAACTTGCTGCTGCGTTGCAACAGGAATGGGACAATCTGGACCAAAATGACCTTAGACGTCTCATTAGGAGTATGCCACGTCGGATCAATGCTTGTTTGGCAAACAGAGGAGGATTTACCCGTTACTGACTTGGTTGTGGTGCTGTGGTAACTTTGCTGTTTGACCCCGGGTATCATTTTACCCTTATAATGGTCAGTCTGTGCCTTACTTAGTCTAACGATCATTTGGAATAAATCGATGAATGTGAACTTCATTTCATTTTGTCATTTGTTTCTTCGTCAGTTTCATTAGGTGACTTTAATAACACTTAAAAATCAAATATCCCCTACTTTTTTTGAATAGTATACATTTAAGATTTTCGGTATTATGATGAAGTTTTATTTTTATTTTTAAAAACATTGTTTAAATGATATGTGAAACTCTGTTTCATTTTTTAAACATGAAGGTCTGAATGAAGCTTATAGTGTTTTGTTATCTACATTGTGTTGTTGTATCTTCTCACGGGGACTGCGTGGCTAAGTGGGTAAGACGCTGGCTCGCTAGCCTGGAGGTCGGATGTTCGATCCCTGCATTGGCCGAGAAAGTTAATTTTCCGGCGTGGTTCCCTCTTGTCAGTGATGCAGGACGGAGGGCCTGACAAGGACAGCTGTTTAGTCCTTCGGAAGATACAAAAAAATGAGGTCCCGTGTATACATTGGAATGCACGTAAAAGACCCCTTGGCAGTTGGAATTCGATATAAGAGTAGGCGATAGTGCCGCTGCCCGGACAAAATTTCCCTCATAGCACACTTTATGGCGTATGCCCATCTTCATTAGCCCAGTATAGGAGCAGAACATTTTGTATCTTCTCACGCCTGTCGCACACTGAAATACGATAAATATACTCACGTTTGGACCATTCGAATATTTAGTTACGATTAATGTAAATATGTCAACAGCAAAAATATCAATAGTACGTAAACGACTCCTATAGCAAAGCAAGAAATTTAGAAATGTTTCGTTCGGGCAATGTATCTAGCATAATTAAAGAGTAAAATATAAATACAGGTTTAAAAAAAAGGCCATGATTGGCTTTTGACATAATAAAATACTAATATTGTACCACAGATATTAAAAGGACGTGTCGGATAATATATTTTGCATAAAGTGTAAAATATAAATACAAGGGCAACAAGAAAGAAGCGGTTGGGGTTTTCAACCTTATCAAATACTGGTATAGTAATTGAGATCCTAATGGGGAGAAATTGACAAATCATTGTAGCAGTGTTTGGAATATGTCGGACAATTCTGAATGACGGCAAGTTATATTTCCATAATGAATTGAAACTTTTTGAAAATATATAATAAAGATACATTCGAAGAAAATAGGGCCAGTTGATACATATGTCAGAGGCAAACATTTGAAAAGACAATAAACGATCGAGGGTCATTCGAAACCGAACGATGGTCTTCTGTCTTCCGTGCGATCTGATGGTGGTACAAATATTTAAAGATAATATAGAGATAATTCAATTGGATCCATAAACATTGTTTGATATATATACCCGTAAGTGTATTGAAACGCTGCACGTAAAAATGAAATGAAATGGGGTTTAACGTCCTACTGTTCTGCTCCGACTTTTTTTTTTGATCTTGCACCATTGTGTATGATTAACACTTTTATTAACATTCTACACATGTAACACTGTGTATGATTAATATTTTAATCTTGTAACATGTATGATTAACATTTTGATTAAAAGTTTAAACGTGTAACATTGCTTATGATTAATATGTTAATTGTTTGTTAGTGTGTATGATTAAAATTTTAATCTTGTTATGTGTACGATTAACATTTTGATGGCCAGATTAATATGTTAATTCTTTAATACTGTGTATGATTAATATTTTAAACATATAACACTGTGTGTGATTAACATTTTAAACGTCCAACACTGTATGATGAACATTTTAATTGTTTTAACATTTGTGAGGACAACATTTAAATTGTTTGACATTTTGTGAAATTGATATTTTGATTGTTTAATATACGGTAAGATTAACATTTTAATTGTTTTAACACCGTGTCAGGACAACATTTTAATTGTTTAACATTGTGTGAAATTAATATCTTGATTGTTTAACATACGGCAAGATTAACATTTTAATTGTTTGACATTGTGTAAGATTAAAATTTTAATTATTTAACATCGTGTGAGATTAAAATTGTATTTTTGCAACTCTGTGTAAGATGAAAATTTTATTTTTGTAACTCTGTGCCGGATTAAAATTGTATTTTTGTAACATTCTGTACGGTTTTGTAATGTGCAGTATTGTGTACGATTCAAAATAGCTTGGATGCAAGACAAAAAAGTAATATTATGTGATTTTTGTAGAATTATACTTCTTCGTTTGATATAGTCTACATCATTATTAAACAAACTGAAGTTCGCCAGAATCAGATACAGACCACACTTCTGCGTGTTATTAACAAAGTATTTAAAGAAGTGTCTATAAAATCATGAAAATCATGTTTCGGAAGATTTAACCATAAAAGGGAAGTAACACAAGTTAATCAAACCGACAGCCTGGTGTGGAATGTGACGTATCTAATTAAAAAGATTGCGTGCGCTTGGTTTTTATCTTATAATCCATATTACATGAAACCTTCTTTTTTTAATATTAATTTGTTGGGGTTTTTTAAATTGTATATATTATTTGTGACAATAAGTATTAAACATGTCAATCTTGATTTATATTTGTTTGTTACTACTTTTATTGGGCGTGAACGTTAAACCTCTCTCTCGCTCTATTTCTCTCTCTCTCTCTCTCTCTGAAATATAAAGATTGTGTTCATAATTTTTAAGGAAAAATGAGTACAATTATGATTTTGGGTGCAGAATAGACCCCCTATCTTGTGAGATCTTTAGCAAAGAATGGAATGTGGTTTTAACATGTCTCATGAACACGATACTTTTGTCATTTTGAGACAATATATATATGCGAAAGACTTAGCGTGTCACCCCTGACAAGTGAAGGTCGGGTTATTCTCGACCCTACCCCGGTATATTTTAGTCAAGAGCCCATTGCCATGACCGTTCAACTGCAATGGATCCCTTGAGATGTTACAACATTGTTGTATTTCTATTGGACGTGTAGTACCTGGTGTAATGAAATGCAAATCAGGTATCCGCTTGTAACCGGAAACGGAAAGTTAAAATTCTAATACTTTTGAAAAAAAAGAGCTTAGGTAAATATGTACTAGGAAACACATTCAATTATAATTTACTGGAGTTGCCTTTTTTACTATTTGTCACAATCTAAAACATCAAACAGACATCTCAACATGCTACTATGATAATCTATCTTGGTTCACCAAGGCGATCCATTTAGTGTTATTTCATTGTTATTACATACAAAAGGTAAGTCATTCATTTACTAGTTCAATTTAATTTATACACGAAACAAATGTTAGCTAAAGAAAGATAATTAAATTGACACCGTTAAAAAGGGTTAGGGTTAGTTTTAGTGTTGCCATTATTACCTGCCCCATTACTACCTAAATCTAATTAACCTCGACGGCTTTATTTACCTTAATATTTAACATGAAGTAATGTTTCAAATAAAATTATCAAGCTAAAATTGGTTAAAGGTTCGATGCGTCATTTGCATTTTCATTAAAATAAATATACGATAAATATGCACTTAGATTAATTATTTAAAATTTAAGTAAACATGCATTATGAAAGATTTAGATAAAGAGCAGACCGTTATTGCTATGATAGTTCAAAAATAGATAATGCAAAGGAATAAATTGAAAATTTCATTCAAATTACTTTATTCTGAGTCAAATTGTCAGTTGTTTGAAATTTTGACAAGGCATAGATTGTTTAATATTTTAGCACTACATGTATTTTAAAATTAATCTATTAAATAGCGATCGTGTATTAATCCGTTTAAATCCTCACCATCCGATGTTTTAGAGAGTTGATTATAGGCTTGCCATGTCTAAATAATAGTTTATATAACATTTGAAGCCAAAAGGCAGATTTAGCTATTACTTTATTCATTTTTAAAAATCTAAATACCAAGGCTAGATATTCTCACCGCTCGGATTCAATCGGATTTAAACTAGGCCCATCGGGTTTCCCCATTACCAACATGGGTCGATGAAATTTCATTTCAACATAACTTTGTAAATTCTGTTACTGAATTGATTCATTTTTGTACTGATATTCTTTTTTAGAGATCAAACCGTCGCAATGTTGTAATTGCAAGTGATTCTAAATAACACAATATCTAGCCTTCAATAAAAAGAATCTCTATCCCGCATGATAATTCATTATGGAGTTATTATCCTGTCCGAGAATTTTATTCCGTCTCCTTCTTTCTAATAGGCTGTAAAATGCTTGAAGATCTGATTGAGAGTGTTGGATCTTTTGGAAAGTTCCAATGGATGGTTGTAATGCTTGTAATATCGCCTACGTGGATCTTTGCAATAAGTATGTTGATTATGGCCTATGGTGGAATGGTGCCAGATTGGTGGTGTCTTCCTAAAGATGAGATAATAATGGATGCCACCATGAATAGTTCAAGTATTTATTACCAAACCTGTAACAAAACGAGTGATTGTTCACGTATATACGAATCATATACAAGAACAGTTATCAGTAAGGTTAGTTTTAGGTAGGAATTAATCATACTTGTGTTAGTTACATAGATTCCGCTATTGCCGCTGCCACCAATGACTCAAGGTTATATTAGTGCTATCGCTGGAAGATCGAGCAGTACCTTTAGCCTTAGAAATGTTTCTATGAACGTAAAAAGCAGCTCAAGCAGACTTAAAATATAGAAAATCACTCGAGTCTATTCGTGTAAAAGCTTGTATATTCAATGCATTTACTGTAGCCGGTTTTCATTTATTCAATGGCATTTGGGCCGAATGCATATAATATGGCTGAATTTTTTTATTTGAAAGTTCAATCTCCAACTTTCTATTGTCTGTTGGATTTTGTCTTTTTTAGCCATGAACAAGGACCAACGGTACTTCTTTTTACTGGTTTCAAATTTCCAAATTCGCTATATACGGTTGCTACATACAATATTAAAATATTCGAAACTTAAAATATTAAAATAGTCAAAAATTCAAAAGTATTATATTTTAAAATTTAATAAAAATCGCATTAAAATATGTTCCTTTTTTCCCAGTTTGATTTAGTTTGTGAAAATTCGTGGATAAAACCAACAGTGACGTCAGTACAGATGGGCGGGGTTCTTGTTGGTGCTTTTATTGGAGGTCAATCAGGAGATATGTTTGGAAGAAAGAAAAGTATTTATACAGCTATTTTTCTCCATTCCATCTTTAACGTAATCATCGCTTTTTCTGTCAACTGGCAAATGTTCGCAGCCTTCAGATTCTTAATAGGTGGAAGTATTGGCGGCTATCTTGTTTTATGGACATTTCCATTAGAATTCGTTGGGTTACAACGTCGAGCTTTGGTGTCGTGTCTTCCATTTTGGACAACCGGTGCCGTATTTCTAGCCCTAGCTTCGTATCTCATCCACGACTGGAAAGTTCTGCATATCTGCATTGGTGCCATGTCATTTCCTTTTGTGTTAGGTTGGTTGTAAGTATTTATTCGCTGTCACTATAATCCAACATAACTTTAGCAAGAGTAACAAGAGCAATCATATTGTGACACAGTTCATTCTTGTATTACAATTATACAATTTCTATACTGAATTTTTACTTTCATAAAGTATTCATATTTGGACGAGTTTTGTTTCCGCCTGACCTTTACACGTACATTTCTTTATCCTTTCATAAGCAGGAACCTACTCTACGATTCAACCATATCCAATCTACGTATATGACATTTACATGTACTAACCTCCTGCTTTTTTTCTTTTCTTTTTTTAAATAAAAACACAGTGTAGTTCCCGAAAGTCTGCGATGGTTGGCTACTAAAAATAGAAGTATGGAAGGGAAAGAAGTTCTGGAAAAGATTGCTAGATTCAACGGTACCACTGTTCCCGAAAATGCTGAGTACATTCTAAGAAAAGTAGCGGAGATAGAAAACGAAAAGAATGAAGGAGGGAAGAAATATACTTATATAGATATCTATAGAGGATGTACAATGTTTAAAACCAGTTTTTGTTTACAATTTATATGGTAAGATGATTTGTTGACGGAAAGGTTCATTAGTTTAGCCTTCTACTTTCCCTATTTACACAGAGAAACGGCTGCGTAAAGATACATCGGGATTTCGTATTCAAATGTAAAGTTCTGTCAAAATTCGCGATTCATATTCTAAATATCAAAAATGAATCCCGACCATGTTAAAGGAAATGCGTTCGTGATTCGGGATTCAAATATGAAAATGTATTAACGGATTCTGTTATTTAAATAATTCATGATTCTCTTTTAAAATCATCTTAAATTCGTATTTTGAAGTTTTGATACAATCCACATTTTTATTAATTATATGCCTGACAACATTACCTTCACTGTAATTAACAAAAATATTGATATTTTTCGTATATTCAACTCACTATCATTTCTGGAATTTGAAACATTCAAGAAACGAGATTAAAATAATTATGAAAGTATTTTATGCCCGTGTTTCAAAGTGTGGTCGAAATATATTTTTCTTATCATTATAATTTGCTGGTGGTGGTCTGTGACCCCAACTTGACCCCCCCCCCCCCCGACACAGTACATGTATAAGTCTTCGGCTTTTAAAATTTACATTCAATCTATCTATCCAATCTATACCGTTTGAGGAATTCAGACTGCATAGACAAACAAATATTTGTATTGTTCAACAAATGGATTAAATACCTTCGAGTGTACCCTTATTGCTTAAATTTTATTATTCAAATTATTTCATTATTCTGTTGGGTATTTTGTTTTAAATAAAACAAGTCACTTTAGTTATGATTATTATTTTTCAGGTGTACATGCTCTGCAGTTTATTATGGACTTTCTTTCGGCATCAGTAATTTTTCAGGAAATTTTTATTTTAACTTTTTTCTGATTAACTTTATTGAAATATTAACAGTTTTTCCAGAACTCTACCTGTTAGGAAAGTAAGTAATTTAAGTAAGTGTTATACTATAAAGTGTAAACAAACGAAAATAAACTGGTGAAATTAAAAAAATAAAACACTATAAAAAATATATTTCATTCGAATCAGTATTAGGGTTGATTAACGTATAGAATTTGGAATTCTAAACGGTGTAGGCGGAAACATCACTATTGTCTGGACAAAATTCCCTCTTCACCTTGCACACGTAACTATATAAATAACAATTACTATATGTTAGTCTCAAAGTGATTGAATTATTGTGTTCACCAGACGTTGAGCCACATTCCATTACAATAGTTGTTCCCATGATTACAGATTTCGCAATACAAAATGCAGATCTATGATTGCATTCAGGAAATAACAAGTCTCCATTATGAACAAACATGAATACATGGCAATTTGTATTACAGAATAGGAAGACGTTATACCTGTGCATTTTTACTGTTTACAGCAGCAGCAGCCTGTATTGTTACACTCATTGTTCAAGAAGGTAGTATGCATTCTGTTGTATAAAAAATATGTTATTTCGAATCGTTTGTTCGAACCCAAAACTGAACAAAAAGCACAGGGTCTCTGCAAAATAGTTTGAATGTTTTCCAATCAATACCTATATGTATTTATGAACGCCGAGGACGTATATGATTTACACAGTGATATCTTTGTCTCAATAGTTTATTTATATAGCTGGATTTCCTGTAAAAGACCAATTTAATTTTTAGTGTGGATCTGTGATATATATTGTGTTTTGTTTATAGTATATAATGTATCGAAGAGTCCAATTATTACTGGTTTATCGCTGACAGCTCAAATATTAATTAATGCTGCATGGGTTGCTCTCACTCTGTTAACAGGGGAATCTTATCCGACCGTCATAAGGTAATTATTATACAACTCTTTGGCAGAGCTATCACATAAATTAAAGGTACACCAAAGCTACATTCAACGTTAAATATTACATCATTACTATCTTCAAACGAGACAACCGTTTAGCTTAAATCTAACCCATAAATCCTCTAGATCTCGACGGAGATCTCTTCTCTGCCCAATTTCCTCAATACTGCTTTAATGATTAACTATCAGAATATCTGAGTTACATAATAATAATAAGTCATCAAGAATTACTCAAGTTAAAAATCAACATTTTAATTTTAATTGTGTAACATGCGTCCAGTGTTAAAAAAGTTTATACATGAGTTATAATATTGATTATTGTTGGGTTTGTTATTTAAATTAATATACGCAATGACTTCTATTTCAAGTTCAAATATGATATCGAATGACTTTGGAAGAAACGGAGGTTTCCGTAAGTAATCAGGGGTATCGGATTCGATCCCGGTGTTGACAGAGATAGTTCATCGGTATTTTCATGTCTGGTTTGCCATTGTCAGTGGTGTATGACAGGCCTAGAAAGGAACAGCGTCTATGACAGTTTGAAGTCCGGGCATTTACCACATTCGAAGGCGTATGCCCAGTCTTCATTAGCTCGGTTAATGTAGAAAAGTATAAGGACGTCACACCCCATAAACGATTATTGAAACGTCTATCATGTTTCATTTCTAGATATGTGGGCTTTGGCGGATGTAGTATGGTGGCTCGTATTGGAGGCATGGTTGCACCTTTTATTTTTAATTTAGTAAGTAGTATTATAACTTTATAATGATAATGATAAATGTTCCTCTCTAATAATTTGATTCATTATATTAGACAATAATAAAATCTCCCCAACTCCACACTTTCTCCTTGGCCATTGCTTTAGGAGTATCAAAACTGCACATTATGAAAGTATTTAGAAATACGTACAGATTGCTATATGTTTTTGTGCTTCATACAGAGATTGGTCATTCTTGGAACCACCGCAAAACCTGCCACTGCTTTATTTGGTACAACACAGAGTAAAAGTACATGTATTGTTTAAATGTGTTTATTTATTTATCAGAGTAGTAACAGAATGGTACCTTACGTTATAATGAGTGTTATGATAACAATAAGCGGTGTTTGTGCTTTACTGCTGAATGAAACAAAAGATTCGGCTTTACAAGACTTAATAGGAGACATCGATGGAAATACAAAAAGACAGAAATCAGCAGAAGATATGAAAAGATCTCAAAAAGGGGAGACAAATCCAAATGGATTAGCCGAGGACGTCAAAAGCAAAGAAACAGAATGTACCAGTATGTAGCAATATCATAGTGAACGATGCGCATCGGTTTTATCGGCAATGAATAAATGTGGTGTTTTGCTTAACTGATTAGTTAATTTCTTTGTCGGGTGTGCTGATAGGGAGTGGTATGAATGAATGTACTTGACTGATAAAAAAACTAAAATATTGTATTTATAGATATTCACGGATCGATGTCTGACAAGATGGCAAATTCCAATAACTGGTGTCTCTCAGACGTTAAACGTAATAAAAGAGAGAAAGAAATGGCGTTTAACGTCCACTCGACACAAACTAGGTCATTTCGGACTAACATATGGTTTAATTTTATTTCAATAATTCGCTTGCGCGTAGGGGTCTTTAGCAGTGGGAGGAAACCAGAGGACCCGGAGAAAACCCACGAGGTTGGACAGTCGACCCTACTTCTTATCAGGTACAACCGGGGATTCGAAACCACGCCAGTTGACTCAATGACAGGCCTTATGATCCAGCACGCACGTGCTAACCATTCGGTCACCCCCCCCCCCCCAACGTAATAAAATCCAAATAAAAATGTAATGGCATTCATTTGACTCAGTATAAGTGCTGTTTTTTTTCTGAATGTTTCATAATAATATGTCCTGAAGAAATCAAATTAAACAGCATCCGTTCTTTCTCGTTGCTTAAGACAAAAGAAATTGTGGCGCAGTTATACTAAAGAATTGAACAGTGACTGTTTTTCACAGATTTACTGGTTCGTGATGGTTATGAGCTAGAATATATACAAATTGGGTTAAAAGCATACGACATTATGTATTTAAAACAACTGTTCTATTTACAAATTAGCTCGAACGACAAAAGTGCGTTTTCATATTTTCCTACCTGATGTAGCTCAATTAATTCTGTTTGTAAAATTAAGGTTCCACTTGTAAGCGCTTACTTCTAAGCTATGCTTCAAATTATATAATATTACCTTTTATACATTACCTTAAATTTAGACATCTACTAAGATAAATATTCAGTTTTCCTACATTTGATTTTAATGGGATTTACTGTCACATATGTCACAGTCTGAATAAAAACCATTACTCAACACAATACGTAAAAAATTATTTTGGTTCACCAAGTCGATTCATTTAGAGTTATAAACGGTAAGCTATATGCATGCTTTAACTTATTAATTTACAAACCTTTACTAATAGTTTAAGTTTATTTATTTTATAATTTTCGAACCCAGGGTTATGCAGAAAAGTAATTGCTCAATTCACCTGATAATGAGTGAAAATATTTTACATATAAAATAACGTTTTCAAAAACTAAGACTCGAGCTAAAACAGGTTAATCAAGCTAATCCACTTAAAAAATAGGTCATGTAATATAATAATGTATCTCATATTTTTATTTTTCTAATAAGCAACACGATGCTGCAAGATCTGATAGATAATGTTGGATCCTTTGGAAAATTCCAATGGATGATAGTGATCCTTGTAATGTCCCCTACTTCGATCATTGCAATGAGTATGTTGGTCATGGCGTATGGTGGAATGGTGCCTGATTGGTGGTGCATTCCCACTGAAGGAATCATAATTCCTGGTAACGTGCTGAACAGTTCAAGTATTTACTATCATAATTGTAACGAAAGCATTTACTGTTCGCGAGTCTATGAATCATATACAAGAACCGTTATAAGCAAGGTAAGTTTCAGCATCTAATTAACAAAATATATTAACCCTTTATACACCCAGTTATAACTGTGTTCTAATTCCCCCACCCCTCCGCCCCCTGCTCCCGCCCCACAAAACAAAATAATGGTGTGAAATTTCTCCAACCAAATTTCTTAAGGAAAATAATTTTAATTTCGTTTTTCTTTTCAGTTTGATTTAGTTTGTGAGAATTCGTGGATTAAACCAACCGTGACGTCTGTACAGATGGGCGGGGTTCTCGTTGGTGCTTTGATTGGAGGTCAGTCGGGAGATATGTTTGGAAGAAAGAAAACTATTTATATAGCTATTCTTTTCCACTCCATTTTTAACATAATTATCGCCTTTTCTGTCAACTGGCAAATGTTTGCAGCTTTAAGATTCTTAATAGGTGGAAGTATTGGTTGCTATTTAGTTTTGTCGACATTACCATTAGAATTCGTTGGGTTAAAACGTCGAGCTTTGGTAATTTGTTTACCATTTTGGACATTTGGTGCTGTATTTCTAGCCCTGGCTTCGTATCTCATCCACGACTGGAAAGTTCTACACATCTGTATTGGTACTTTTACATTTCCGTTTGTTTTCGGTTACATGTAAGTATCTCTTTTTTTAACTCGTTATCGTCACTATCATTTTGTTAAAATAATAGGAATACTGTTATGCACCATCCTCTCTTTTGAATGGGTCTTTTTCACAAAATCCAGTAAATATTTGAAGTTTGTTTTAGTAATCCGGGAATCCGGGAATCCGGGAATTGATATTTTGGTATTGATTTTTCTAATTATGCAGGGAATTATTTTAGTGTTTTATCCGCCATTTTGTTTAGAAAGTTTTAGTGCAATATTTATAAAGCATAATAACCATTGAAATTTATTTCAATAACATTTATGAAATATACGCATAGGGCCGTTCCTGAAAGTCTACGATGGTTGGCTACAAAAGATAGAATTATGGAAGGAAAAGAAGTTCTGGAAAAGATTGCTAGATTCAACGGTACCGCAGTTCCAGAAAATGCTGAGTACATTCTAAGAAAAGTAGCGGAGATAGAAAAAGAAAAGAATGAAGGAGTGAAGAAATATACTTATATAGATATCTATAGAGGATGTACAATGCTTTTAGTAGTAAGAAAGTGAATCAATGTCTCAATGATAATATAAGACAGGATTCATGTTTTGACCAGTAATTGGGACCTAAGGACTACGCATCTTGTTTTTGTTCTTCTTGTGGGTGACCCTGTTTGAAAATAGCCTAATAAAGCATACTTTTTTCTAGTACAACGCTCACCGATTGACGAAAAGGTGTGACATTTCCAAGATGGCGACGCATTCTGCACACAGAGAAATATCTACTTCGAGAATAGATGGCCACCGTATCTAAGAATTAGTATACTTTTTTGTAATGGGGCTCTACCTAGTTTTGCGTCTGCAATACACACAAAGACTAAATAATCTTTTTCTACTTCTAAGAATTCGCAAAGTATATTAGTGTTTTCGACCAAAATCATCGATTAAGGAATTAAAATATGTCCATCAACTAGCTTAGTGTCTGTTGTCAAGCCGAGCTAATTGTTAACGATTCTTGTCCATATAGTACTATCGTACTTGTTTTATTACAACTACTAAAGACCACTTCCCCCCTCTCTCTCTCTCTCTCTCTCTCTCTCTCTCTCGTCGAGTTATTTTATTTGGTGGTTTTACACACGTGTATTTTTTATAGGCCCACATTTTCATGTGTACGTATATTGTCATCGCCACTGTTTATCCGTCTGGATTTTTATCCGATTTTGACGAAACTTGAAATATAGGTTTATATCCCACAGATTTCTGTGCTTTTCTGTGCATGTATCGGGTCGTAACGTTATGAATTATGGCCCCTGATTGTTCGAAAAATCACGTTTATAGCTTGTGAACACTTTAGAGGTCACAATTTTCATCTGATTGTGATGCAATTTATGTTTATTACCCAAAGATCTTGGCTTCTTTCAATATTGACGTATATCGGACCGTCACTTCGTGGATTATGGCCCCTGATTGTACGAAAAATCACGTTTTTAGCTTGTGGACACTCTAGAAGTCACAATTTTTATCCAGTTTTGATTAAACTTAAAGTGTACATGTATGTTTATAACCTAACGATCTCGGCTCCTGTCAATATTCGTGCATATCGTATCGTAACTTCCTGGATTATGGCCCCTGAATGAACGAAAACTGCAAGGTCACAATTTTTATTCGGTTTAAAAAAAGCGTTCGAATATATCACCTTACATCGTAATGATAGTTGAGGTCAAATTTCGTGAAAAAATGGCCGCGCCATGTGCGCAAACAGTATTACAGTATGTAGTATCAAGGTTGTGGGCCCTTTGGAGGTCACAATGTGTTTATATCCCAAAGTTGAGGTCAAATTTCGTGAAAAAAATGGCCGCGCCATGTGCGCAAACAGTGTTAAAGTATGTAGTATCAAGGTTGTGGGCCCTTTGGAGGTCACAATGTGTTTATATCCCAAAGTTGAGGTCAAATTTCGTGAAAAAAATGGCCGCGCCATGTGCGCAAACAGTGTTAAAGTATGTAGTATCAAGGTTGTGGGCCCTTTGGAGGTCACAATGTGTTTATATCCCAAATATCTTAGTCCCTTTCGATGATTGCGGATATCTGACCGTAAGTTCCTTGGTTATGTCTCCTGATTGTATGAAAAAATCGTTTAAATATTTCGTAAAAATCGGACCGAAAGTGCCCGACAAAATGGCTGCTCCTTGTATGCATATTGAGTAAAAGTATGTAATACGAAGGTTGTGCGATTTTGGTAAAACTTAAAATATATCTATATATCCCAAAGTTCTCAGTCCCTTTCAATATTTGTGCATGTCAGACCATAACTTCCTGGATTATGGGCCCTGACTGTACGAAAAATCGTGGGGGGGAGGGGTGTTGGCTTTTTCTCTATCCATCTATTGCAAATTGTGGGTGTATCTTGCCCGACAGCCACTGGTTCAATTATTATTTTCAGGTGTACATGCTCTATGGTTTATTATGGACTTTCTTTCGGCATTAGTAGTTTTTCAGGAAATTTTTATTTTAATTTTTTTCTGACTAACATTATTGACATACTGACATTTCTTCCAGCCCTCTATCTACTGGGAAAGTAAGTAATTTATGTTACCGTCATGTTTGAACAGGATTTTTTTCGTGGGGTGCGGGGGGGGGGGAGGGTAGAATGGTTTAAGGCGTGCGCTTGAGATTATAAGGTCTGTCAATGAGTCAAATGGTGTGCTTTACATTGCCTCTGTCCCTCTCATGAACTGGGTTGAACAATGGTTGCATTTTTAACAATTATGAGTATGATCTGGCATAGCTCTAAACAAGTAATAACAACACTTATATGTTCCTTCCGGCATCACTTCATCTGTTTCAAGTTCTTATAAATGCTGTAATGCAATGTTTTGGGCATAAGCCCGTCTTTGAGTAGAACAAACAATGAACGCCATAAAAAAAACAACCCGTAATCCAAAAACACGAGCCCTTACGGACACATGTATGAGGGTAATCGTCCGCTCAAGGGTGTTCGTGAGTAAAGAGTTTGAAATATACTAATGTCCAAAAGAAAGTATACACTGTACATTTCGTCCTGCTTCAAACAAAGTCGTTTTTGCATTGTATGCGGTATTTGGGTACAATGTCCATTTGTTTTGCCTGTTATTTGCTTAGACATATTGAGTTTGGATGCACGAGACATGTTCAGTGTAATTTTATCACATTATTTTTATTTAAACAAAACTTGGTCATCTTTTTAGTGTGTATGCTTTCTTTTGGACATTGGTCTTTGATTTAGAATTGAAATCCATTTATTTATCATTAATATATGTGGAGTTTTAATGATTTTAATGTTGGGATTCATGTCTTTTCCTCTAGGGGGATTTGATGGCCGAATGGTCAGCACGTGCGCTGTATCATAAGGTCTGTCATTGGGTCAACTGGCGTGGTTTCGATTCCCTGTCCAACCTCGTGAGTTTTCTCCGGGTCCTCCGGTTTCCTCCCACTGCTAAAGACTCCTACGCGCAAGTCCTGACTGACCTAGTTTGTATCGAGTGAACGTTAAACCTATCTCCCCCTCTCTCTCTCTCTTTCTCTTTCTCTCTCTCTCTCTCTCTCGTCTTTTCCTCTTGTTTACAGCAGCAGCAGCCTGTATTGTTACGCTGATTGTACAAAAAGGTTTAAGCAATTGGTATAGTTTATTTCATTAATTCCAGAAAAACTGCAAATTCGGGATTAAGATTGTCGATCTTTTCTGTTTTGTTTTTTTTTCAATACGTAGCCATAACTGAATAACAAAAATCGAGTAAAGGTTGGATTATGAAACTTTACATCACTGGACACCGAATTGTCCCACGATTATACGAATCCCGGGAAAAGGACAACCACATATATACAGGTTTTTTTTTTTACAGTGAATGGTGTTTCGAAGAGTCCAGTTATTACTGGTTCATCTCTAACAGCTCAAACGTTAACTAGTACTGCATGGTCTTCCCTCATTCTCTTAACTAGCGAATCGTATCCAACAGTTATCAGGTAAGACAATTCCATTTAAAGACATCAACGCAGAAGTGGTGTTGGATGGATATTGATTTGAACAGATGTTTTGGATGCTTCGTGTACATCGTAAATAACAAGGGACCGAGTACAGACCCTTGGGGAACACCACTGCGTAACACAGCCTTACATGAAGACGTCGGATTGGCCATGGCGGATTCGGTTCTATGTGACAATTATGAATCGAAACACTTTAAAAACTGCATACCAAAATCGGCATCAAATGCGGCCGACAAATCCAGATTGAAATTCAAACAACATATTTTGTTAATATTTGAATATATATTAATATTTTTTATAGGTATGTGGGCATGGGAGGATGTAGTGTGATGGCTCGTATTGGAGGAATAGTAGCACCGTTTATATTCAATTTAGTAAGTTGTATTGATATTCATCAACTATATGGAGAGATTATGTAATACAGGGGGTGCTAATTAACAAAATGTTTTCGAAAAGAAATACAAATGTATGTCTATAGCCTATAATCAACCCTCTAGGCCATCGGATGGTTTTGATTTTCAAAGGATTTAAACACAATTGACAGTTGATAATTTAATTAAAAATAGATAATCGAGACTGGAACAGGTGCCAAGACTGAATTAAATATGATGTATGAAAAAATTAAATTATTTATTTATTTATCATGTATTTGTTTATTTATTTAACAGAGTAGTAACAGAATGGTACCATACATTATAATGGGTCTTATGATCACAATAAGCGGTATTTGTACTTTACTGCTGAATGAAACAAAGAATTCTGTTTTACAAGACTTAATTGGAGACATCAATGGAAATAGAGAACTTCAGAAATCTGGCGTACCAGTATGTAAAGTATCAGAAGATCTGAAGAGGGCACAAAAGGGGGAAATAAATGAAAATATGAATATGAAAGACGCCCAAAATACTTATATGTAGTGGCATACATTTTTGCTAACGCCAATGATAAATCAGTAGAATTAAAAGGGTGCTTCTGTTTCTTTCATAATAAAATGGCTATGGAACCCCATGTCTATAATCGTGATAAAACTTGTTAATCTTAGGGATTTTTGTTAAAAGCAATTTAAAGTGGTGTGCCAAGAGTGAAAAGTGGACTTGTTAGGGGTGTCTGGGGTATTTCTTTTTGGTGGATTTCGGCATATCTCAAGGATTAAAAAGCCACCAGTATGGCTAAAAAGTAGGCTATATCCATAATTTTATCGTGTCATATACTTGTTGTTAATTCTGGAAGATTGGATCTCCAATGATCGAGTGAATTCAAAATATTTTTGAGTTAAATTTGACACGATCTATACATATGTATACATAATAAACATATTGTTAAAACAAGAACATGTATCCATACCTTTTCTACCAGCAGACCAGAGAAACCATTTATGTTTATTCAATTCATTCTCCGCAATACAGAAGTGGGAAAAGGGGGATCGAAGCAATATAGGAATTTGGCCTGTCATTATTTTGGCACTTGTGAAACTGAATATATATGTTCAGTGAATAGATGCTCACAATATACCCCCCCCCCCCCCACACACACACACACCTCACCACCACCTCACCACCACCTCACCACCCCCACCACCCTGTATATTTTCTGAAACTATGCACTCTTGTTGCCACCGAAGGATTCTTCTCCCCAAATGAATCTTGCCCCCCCCCCCATCCCCAGGGTATCGATCACCGGGATCTGCTAGTACATTTTCTGTTATCAACATTATATTTATTGGCTTTCAAATATTATGAATCTACAGGAATTGTTACATCTGGGTGCTAGGCTGCTGTTTTGTTCTCCAGCTTGGCTTATCGTCCCGTTTTATTCTGAGCTAATGTTGTAAATATTAGATTTCTTTCTGCCTTTACTTTCGTTTTCCTTGGCAACAGTCTCAATAAAATCCTCTAAAGCCAACCCCCTGGTTTCCTTTTGTAACAAAGCGGAGATACCACTAGATACAAACAGACGGTCAATATAATATAAGGTATCATTCTGTTACTTCCCTGTAATATAATAAGAATTTTATATATGTTCTCACTATAGGTGTAACAAAATAATAATCTAATTCTAATAATTAACTATCAGATATGTACCAGAGTCTTATATATAGATATATATAAGGCTCTGATATGTACGGTGTAAGATCACAAGGCTACTAAGATATGTAGTAAGAAAAGATGTATGGGTCATAACGTAGGATGTGGCGACCGGTTTCCAACTCCCGCTCTCCACGTCTGACAGAAGGCCCATGGCACTACAATATTTCTTAAATGAACAATCAGATATATAGGGTTTACCAACTTACTAGGCTAAAAATAAAAGGAGCCAGGATGCCACCAATTCGAGCCGCCGTATTGGCTGCGCCATAGCCCAAAGACCTTAAACAGAGTTGTATTAACAAAATATAGAGGCCAATATAATAACTCATCTTAATTAGCTGTATCAATGAACCTCGTCGGTTACTAAATTTTGATGTTTACGCTTTTTTGTGTTTGTTTTCTATTTCATCGTCAATTTTGCAATTGCTATGTACATGTATTTTATTTATATATACGAAACAAGTAAGCAAGTAAATAAGTACCTGATGACAGTTGGATATGACCCATTACTCAACACGACCAAGGATGCCCACGCTGAACCAGTTAAAATCTTCGCCAACAACGACACACCAGTAATCAATGGGCTCTTTGATACATCTTTTACTGTGGAAAATTATACTATTACGTATACAGTGAGAAAGGGCTGCATGGGTTATCACCTACACATGAAAATATTGTGTTGGTCAAAGAGCATTATCATAAGGTTATGTCAAAACTTAAAATGATATCCCCTCTTTGTCGATTTGTGGTTACAATCTGTCTTGGTTGAAAGTTTTATGTCTACCTATACTCGGCATTTATAAATACAATATTATTGCCAAAGTAATATTCGTTATTCCCAGCAGAACAGTAAGTAAAAGCCTTAATTCGCAAGGTAGTCAATATTTAAATCTGACAAATAAAGGCCTTATATCAAAAGACATTAGCTGTGTTGCTATCTTGGAATTCGCTTAGACTATTTGTAAAACTATTTGTATTGAACCATCTGCATTATGTTCTAGTTATTATTCATTGAAATATACATATATATTACTCAATAACTGAATAATAATATTTATTATATTGTTATATTCGATGTACTATGGGCCTATGACCTTGTATCACTGAATAAAGTCTTTTTATTATCTTCTTAATTATTGTGTCTTGAATGTGTTGTAGTCTACGATCATGTGAGTAACATACAAACCTGCTTGTATAATTAAAACGGTGATACATGATGCTGCAGCTAGGAATAAAGCACCCGCGCATGTATAACGTCTTCCTATTCTGTAATACAAATAAGTAGTATATAAGACAATGAGCGCTTAACAATTTTTGGGCCTCGCCTTAGTTTGCTAATATTTGCGAATGTTACGGATTTGTTAATGTTTATTGGTCTGTCCCTGGCTTTATTTTTGTGTAAACGATTTGAGTACTATGCTATTTTTGGATGATATTTCTATTGCATGTTAGTATAATTGTGACAAATAAATATAATGTCACACTTAGCGCCGTCAAAATAATGCTGTCGATTTGTAAATAGGATAAACGTAGTTTCTAAATGTGGCATTCAGAAACTTGTTAAATCATAAACATCAACAGCACGGAGTATCGATCCAATTACCTGTCTACTACTAACATATCTAGATGTTCTACAGCCAACCATCACCTCAATAAATGACCCTTCCCTTACTGGTACTGTTCCCTATCTCTTCAACTCAGATAAAAGAGAATGTGTCCCACCTCTAGGCGTTCCCAAAGTTTTATTTTCTTTGTATACAAAAATTAAAAATAATTAGAATATCCTCATCTTTATGCTGAGGAACTTAAAATTTGGTTTTTCTTTTCAAAATCAATTGAATCGCCTTCAATAAATACAAAATGTCACAGCACGAATGGCCACAAGAGTATCATATTGTTGCCACATAACCCAAGTTGTCCAAACGGGGCAATGATTTGTCAGTGGACAGGTCACTGCTTACTAATGTTAGTTACTTCAATTCCTAAGCTACAGGTGCGTTCATACAATCAACTAGTGATACCAAAGTGGAAACGTGCAACCTTTTCGGCAGAGTTCTTTTGCAGTTGCCGCTGCTGATACATGGAATTTACTATCACTTTTGTGGCTTCGCAGTAGTAGTAGTAGTAGTAGTAGTAGTATCAGTAGTTACAACTACATACAACTGTTGTCGTTTATTTCTTTAGTAACTTACTTTTCTAAACAGTAAATGGTTGGGAAATATGTGGTTAACTCTGTAACACTCATCAGAAAAAAGTTCAGGTAAAGGTGCTGATTCCAAAAGAAAGTCCTAAAGACGTTGTTGAACAGGAGAACCTGTAAAATAGCATAACCTTCTATTAATTACATTGTTATTGATGAGATATGGCACTGTTAAACATGAGTCAACTTAATTTTTATTATCTTAAAGCCATTGACCATAAATATTATGGAACGCATACTCGACTTAGAAAATGTCGGGTTTTTCTCTGGTTAAACGCCCCCCCCCCCCGCCGCCGTTAACGACTCCTGTGCGCGTTGGATTTATTAAAGCTAGTTTATCTCTCATCTGCACCCACCCCTCACCTTAACAACGCATTCCCTATATTTGGTTTGTGGGAGAGGGTTACCAAAGTACATGTAGCCTACTATATACATCGTTACAATTAGTTAAACGAGCTTTTGAATTGAAAAAATTGGCACCGGATGTTCTGGATAATTGGCTTATCTTGTATCTTGTCTCATACATGATACCAATCAATACAACCAAACTTCATGGTTTAAAGTGTCGCTATAGCCACCAAATATTTCGGTTACCCAATGAGGTAGTAATTTGTCTTCCATTCTTATTATTCTTGAATGGTCACTTACCAAATTAATTGTATGCAGAGACTCTTCTTTAGCATTGGAAATCCTTTATAGATGTCTATATACGTATATTTCTTTCCTGTCCTATTCTTCTCTTTTTCCATTTCGGCAACTTTTCTCAGAACATCTTCCGCATTTTCTGGAACCGTTGTACCATTGAACTTAGCAATTTTATCAAGAACTTTTTTTGCTTCTTCTAGTCTGTCTTTAGTAGACAACCATCGCAGACTTTCGGGAACTACACTAGATAATGTATATTAACCATCTGTATTAAAAATGAGAACTGATAATTATTTTATTAAATTGTTCCTTATGATTTAATATTTCGGTATGGAATATAACCTTTAATGGAACAATTTAGCACAGGGTTTTCAACTTCCTTAAGAACTGTTTACGAGTGATTGCTGTATTGTGTCAGTGTAGATGTAAATCAAATTATACTTACAACCATTCAAGTAGGTAAGGAGAGGACACAACCCCAAGACCAATATGTAGGATTTTCCAATCACGTATAAGATAGGAAACTAAAGTTAGAATGATAAAGCCAGTTGTCCAAAAGGGTATAGCAGATACTACAGCTCGATGTTTACGACCAATGAATTCCAGTGGAAACCAGAAAGGTACCTATACACCCACCAATTAAGAATCTGAAAGCTGCAAACATTTGCCAGTTGACGGAAAAGGCGACAATTATGTTAAAAATAGAGGGGAGAAGAATAGCAGTATATATAGTTTTCTTTCTTCCAAACATGTCTCCGGATTGACCCCCAATTAATGCGCCAACTAGTACGCCTCCCATCTGTACAGCTGCCAGGGTTGGTTTAATCCAAGCATTTTCACAAACTAAATCAAACTGCAATTGAATAAATAAATTATTCAGTAAAGGAGAGTATATGCTATTATTTCCAGTCCAACTGCATAACGACTGAATATGAGGGAGTTTGGTGTTACACTTTTACCATGAAAATAACCAAGAGGGCGAATTTTTTTAAATGGATGTAAAGTTTAAAACCAATGGATTACGAGTGTATAAGGAAAGCGATAAGTAACACACCGTAAATCTACTATTTTTCAATGTTTCACGCTCTCAAATAGTGCCAAAAGCGCGTGATTTTTACTTGACGACATCATCGTTATTTTTAAAAAGCAGCGAGGAAATTGATTTCAGCAGTGGGGTAAATATCCCACTACTTACTATGTTAAGACATACTCTGGTAGTTAATGATAAACTGGGTACCTAATATCCCCTCCTAAACGGGGGCGAT